CCCCCCCGTTTAAATTGGGTCCATTAACCCAAAAGACAAACTAAGAAAAAAAGGTTAAGAAGCACTCGCATATTAAATTACATTCACCCACCTTTGAATGCAAATCTGTATCCTCCCAAAAGAGACTAAAAGCTCCCTCATGGACAGAGGGGTTTTAATTTAACAAAATCACTGACTAAAAGTCAGATGTAGTGAGGATGCCAATTCACAGAAAGGTGTTTCAGAAAAACAAGTCAAAAAGCCCACAGCAGATGAGAAAGTTTTCCCTGCCCACATTCCCCTTAAGCTAGGTGGCTTTGATTTCATAGACGTTACCCTAGCATTTGGAAATACAAGTCTACTCTCAGGGGAACAGTACACAAGAAAGTGTCACGCAAGCTACAGCTTTCAAGCACATTCATCTTCCACAGTAGATCAACAATTTTATACGTCTATAAAAGTAAAATGTACTGAAAATATTTTGAAATCAGAATTAATAAGTATAACAAAATATTATCATTAAGTACTTAACTTCCAATTCTCAATCCTATGAGAATCAATGTTTTGTTAATAACAGGGCAGAGACATGCTTAGAGGCAGCACCTGACGTTCCCTAAGAAAAAGTAGTACAGCTATGTAGGAGTCAGCTAAAGATAGTCTCAGCCTAGAAGTAAAGGCCAAGACCATGTAAGATTCCAAAAGATAATGCTTCCTAGAAACTTGTGCAATCTCAAGAGAAATAACAATTAGTCCCATTTCTTACAGCAGAAAGGTATACCCTTCAGAAAAGATGAGTTTAAATAAAACGGATGAAAAGATATCTAAAAAGAATGTATGCTGCAGCAGGACCCTACAAAGATAAAAAGAAATAGTACAAAAGTTTTATGCATATATTGTTTCAGGTAATTTGCTAAACAGATTCCCCATGAACAGAAGAATCAAAGGACAAATAATAACAGAGTGAGTGTGTATGTATTTTGATAAGAACAATTCAGTAAAATACCGTTTTTAATGTGAATAAAACCATTAATACCGGTATCAGTTAGTATAAAACGCCTACATTAAGTATATATTATGTTTTGCTGGACATGACTAGGCCTTATTTTATAATCAAAATCAGGTTTTAAATTATTTTGTGCTCAGGTTCTACTACAGTAACACCTCCCTATCCTTCAAGTAATAAAAACATAAGACCTAATTATTCTTACATAAATATGAAAACTAAGGCCAAGGGAAGTTAAGTGCCTTGCCCAGAAATAAAAAATGGTTTAAGTTGCAAAAATATATGTAAAAAGGTTAATCAGCAACAGGTACTTAAGAAAGTTCATTAAAGTATACTCATTGACAACCTAAAAACTTACAGCTGCCAAAGCTATTAAGTTACATACCTTATTTTCTTGGCCCCACTGCCAGATGCTAGGAGCTTGCATGCCAAAGAAAGCAAAAGGATCCTTGCCAACAATTATTAAGCCTATTAAAACTAGTTTGAAGACTGACAGGAAAGAAGCTATGTGTCTATGAAGAGAAAAGAAAAATTCATCAGAAGCTGCAATTTCTCATTTACTTCAAAATTTCGTAACTCAAACATATGTACACAGACATTTTCTAGACACCAAATCTAAAAGTTATAATTCAGTATCGGCATAGGATCCAGGAGATCACGGTTTGATTCCCAGTAAGGGCACATGCCCAGGACGTGGGCCTGATGATCCCCAGTCAAGGGGCGTGCAGGAGGCAGCTGATCAATGATGAAACTCTCATCACTGATGTTTCAACTCACTCTCTACCTCTCCCTTCCTCTCCCTGAAATCAATAAAAATATATATTTAAAAAAATAAAATTTTTTTAAAAAGATAGTAACTAGTTTATTTTACAGTTTTAAAATAAAAATATTTAATATATTTTAAATCAATCAAAAAATAATTTATAAGATTACATATATAGCAGTAGCCTTTAAAAAATATTATTTTAACAGTACAGAATTTTATGCCACTGACTGACTATAAAAATTTGGGAGTTCGTGGTCTACCTCCACAATAACAATTACAGAAAAAAAAACACATCTTCTGAAGAACTGTCACCTAGAAAACAATTCCCCTTCTCACAGAAAAATTCTTCTATATTTGCTATTTATGAAAGTGTTCTATGTATATTATTACAACTAGTTAAGAGATTATAATAACCAAGAAAGTTAATTGAACCAATTCACAAAAGTTTACAAACTCAAATTATTGTCCTTCTAAGTTACTAAAATTTACTTACCTATATATTGGTTGAGGGAGGTAATTCTCTCCTTCAATGCGGATGTCTGGGTACCGCTGGCTGATAACCCGCATGTACTCCTCAAACACCCGCCTATAACCTCAGGAAACACTGCGGAGAAATAAAAGTGCTTCCTGTTAACTGGTTTAGAATATGCCTAGACTGCTTTTGTGTTAGACAAAGCCTAAAACTGCCAAGATTAAAAGTGTTTCTCAAGAACAGTCACAAATTAATAACTGATGCTGGATGGTGGGTATAGGGAGGTTTTCCCCCACAAATTTCACATATTTAAGTTACCTCACCCTCAAGCAAACCCTTCCATTAGAATATCATACTCTATAGATTTGGGTTACTCTTGGACAACAGCGAATACCTACTCACATATGTCAGTGTATTTTGAGCTCTCAAATCAATGATTACATAAACACTGAAATAAAAACAACTCTTATTCATCTGAAATAGAGACATTCAAAAGTGGGGCACAAGAAGTTTTAAAAAAACACCCACGGCATAAGACATAAAACTCTGGTTCTTATTTCCACTCTGCCCCTAACTGGGCAAACATACCTGCTTAATCACAATAAGAGGAACATAAATAACTTTTAGATCCCTTGACTCTAAAATTTGATTCCACTTTGCAGAAGAAAACAAAGACTGGGAAGATAATTTTCAGCAATATGATAGTAATCTATACCATTACTCCAGAAATTAAGTCAACAGCACCCAATCGTCTTCATTAAAATCTCTGAACAATTAAATTATGGATATACGTTGCCTCAGCAAGAGAAGGGGAAATACGCCACCAGAGTGCATATATGAGGGGGGAAAAGTATACTGATCAAAGCAATTGAAGACACACATAAAAAGGTATCTCGTGTTCATGGGTCAGAAGAATTATTACTGTTAAAATGTCAAAGCAATCTACAGATTCAATGCAATCCCTACCAAAATTCCAATGCATTTTTCACAGAAATAGTACAATCCTAAAATTTTTATGAAACCACAAAAGACCCCAAATAGCCCAATCTTCAAAAAGAAAAACAGCCCAGCCGGGCATGGCTCAGAGGTCGAACGCTGACCTAGGATCCAGGCCATCGGGGTTCGACTCCCAGTCAGGGCACATGCCCAGTTGCGGGCTTGATCAATGACTCATCATTGATGTTTCTGTCTCTCTCTCTCCCTCTCCTTTCCTCTCTCTGAAATCAATAAAGATATATTTTTTAAAAAAACAAACAAAAAAAAGAAGGAAAAACAAAGCTGGAGGCATCACACTTCCTGATTTCAAACTATTACAAAGCCTTAGTAATCAAAACAGTATGGTATTAGTGTGCCCTCCCGAAGCACCCCCGTACCTTTCTCTTCCCCCCCCTTCTTCCCTAACAGGTGTGCATCTCCTAAATTCTAAACTCTCCAAAAGACTTGCAACCAAGAGAGCAATGGGCAGCTGCAGCTCCTCGGCAGCTCCTCCCAGGCTAACCCCCTGAACCTGTCTCCAAGGCCCCCTTTTCTCTGACTTTCCAGTGAGCTGACAGCAGTCCTGCCTTGGCTCACTTGTATCACTGAGACACTTATTTCTCAGTGAGCCAAAGCAGCCCCGCATTTCTTCCCACCCCTTTTTAAAATCTTTATTGTTGAAAGTATTACAGATGTCCCTTTTTTTCCCCATTGAACTCTTCCACCCTGCTCCCACCCTCCACCCAAGGCCTTTACCACTGTAACATTTCTAGAGACAAACCAGCCCTGCCTTGGCTCTCTCCTGTTAATTCTTCTGTCCTAAGCCCGCCCTTGTTTTAATAAATGTATTCCCAAAGTAAACAAACAAACAAAAACAAGTATGGTATTTGCATAAAACATACACACAGATCAATGAGAACAGAGAGCTCAAAAATAAACCCACGCATATATGGTCAACTACTTTAAAATAAAGAAGCCAAGAACATACAATGGGGAAAGGACAGTCTCTTCAATAATGGTGGTGGGAAAACTGGAGAGCCACATACAAAGAATGAAATTGGACCACTATCTTACATCATACACAAAAATCAACTCAAAATGGATTAAGGACCTGAAACCATAAAATTACAGAAAACATAGGAAGTAAGCTCCTTGACCACAGTCCTGGTAATCATTTTTTGGATTTGACATCAAAAGCAAAGGCATCAAAAGCAAAAATAAACAAGTGGGACTACATCAAACTAAAAAGCAAAGGAAACCATCAACAAAATAATACAGCAAACTACAGATAGGAGAAAGTATTTTCAAATTATCTAATAAGGAGTTACTAGCCAAAATATATAAGGATCATATAACTCAATAACCAAAAAATTAATAATACATTTAAAAACTGGGAAAAGCCCTGAACAAATGGCCAACATGTACATGAAAACATGAGGGAAATGCAAATCAAAACCACAATGAGACAGCATATCACACCTGCTAGGATGTCTATTGTAAAAAAAGATGAGAGAAGTTCGGTGAGGACAAAAAAGGGAACCCTGTGCACTACTGGTGGAAATGTAAATTGGTGCGGCCACTATGGAAAACAGTACATAAGTTCCTTAAAATATTAAAAACAGAACTACCATTTGATCTAGCTACCACTTCTAGGTATATATCTGAAATAAATGAAATCACTATCTCAAAGAAATATCTGCACCCCCATGTTTGTTGCAGCATTATTTACAATAGCCAAAACACGGAAAAAACCATGTCTCATCTATCAATGAATGAATGAATGAATGAAGAAAACATGGTACATATAATACAATGAAATATTATTCAGCCAAAAAAGGGGGAGATGCTGTCATTAGGAATAACATGGATGGATCTTGACCACATTATGCTAAGAGAAATAAGTCAGAGAAACACAAGTACTGTAAGATCTCACTTATATGTGGAATCTAAAAAAGGTGAACTCATAGACACAAAGTAGATTGGTAGTGGCCAGGTCCTGGGGGTGGGAAGAATAGGGAGATGTTGGTCAAAGGATGAAAACTTCCAGTTTTAAAATGAATAAATTCTGGAGATCAAATGTACAGCATGATAACAATACTGTACTGTATACTTGAAAGAGAACAGATATTAAATGTTCTCACCAAAACAGAGGTAATTATGTGAGGTGATGGATGTGTTAACTAACCTTTTGTAGTAATTGTTTCACAACATACCTTGTAAATGCATATATCATCACCTTAAGTATATACAATTTCTATTTGTCAATCATACTTCAATAAAACTGGGAAGGGAGAGGCGGGTGGTGCCACCATATCAACAGAAGAGCTTACAAATTCAGGTAGGATTGTTAAGCACTTAAATACATTAAGTTCTAAGTTAAGGAGCACATAAATATAAAGCAATGGAAGTACCACTTGGTACAGAGAAAGCAAGATCAGCAATTAAGTTATAGTGGAGTAAAACCTCAGGTGCCAGCTTTTTTAATTACACTGTCATCAAGAAAAAACATACCAACCATCAACCACCACCAAGGGAAGGGCATCAAGTTTATATCTGACAGGGTGAGACAGTCCAATTATCAATAGATCTCAATTTTAAGAAACTCATCTTAAAAAAAAAATGAGAAATTTAGTCTTTCTTAACAATTAATACTTCCTCTGTATTTAGAATAAAAATTTCTAAATTTTAGGTCCAAAAGATTATAGACCTAAAAAGCATGAAATATTTTCACAGGGAAACAAATCTCTATAGCTAAATTCTTAAAAGAACTTAGAAATCTCTAGCTATGTTATCTTTACTAAGCATTCACCTTATCTAATATTTTCTTATTACTGTTGTTAGACTTGTCAAGTATTTGAATTTTGCCACAATTGCTTTTTCTATAAGAAATTTTTAATGATGCTTCTATTATAAAAATAATCGAGATTACCTACATACCTATCTACCGTGAAACCAAGAAATGCCACCTGATTGCAATGCCCAAGTTTGCACTGGTGTTTACAATAGAGTTGATTACCTAACTAACTTTTAATGCAATATATTCAGAACTCAAGATCTAATTAATTGAGGTGAAACTTTTTTATAGATGAACGGAAAAACATGAAGCCCAGAGAGATCAAGTGACTTTTCCATGGTTATATATTCATGTATCATTTATTAATTCACTCAAATATTTATCAAATGCCTACTAGGTGCCAAGCATTATATTAGGTGGTGGGTGGGTAGTGGTGAGTGACCTTAGTTAACACAGACTAGAACAGACTTCAGGACATGAGATCCTAAGGCCACTTCCACTAGACCCCAATAGAACAATTAGATAATATAAGAGCTATCCATCCCTGTGTCCAGGAAGTAAGTTCTTTTTGTCCACAATGCCACAATCGAGTTCCCATATAGTTGGCCTCCTGGCAGCAGAGGTCTCCGAGGTTCTTCCATGATGAAGACATAGATTCTCCCTCGAGATCTAAACCTGTGGGTCCCAAGAAGTCCCTCACATGTGCTCTGGGAGTTCCAATCCTTCACCAAGGGAAGCCAAAGGGCCCAGGCTAGAGAGGTGTGTCTATGTGGAGATAACACTATTGGTCAGATTCCTCCCAGTAACCCATTTTTCTGGCTACTGTGCTCGGAAGCCTGACTCTTATCCTTGGTTCTCCCAGCACCATGTCTTCAGTTTAGTCTCAGATCTTTTCACCAAACTCCAAATAGAATCGGCCCATAACCTTGAAATCCAAAAAAGGCTTTTAAACTGTAACTTTCTTATTTCTGAAAAATGAAGCTGTTTACAAGACCAAAAAACAAAGAAAAACCCCACATTTTTAGACAAGTCTATTTATACTATAGGTCAGTAAACTTCCTTCTCTATATTTGCCTCCAGATTCATAAAGAAAACCAAGGAACTTTTTCCCTATATAATTGTTTTCCTCACAATAATTTTTGTTTTGAAATAGCAATCAATACTGCTGACAGAAAACAAAACATACCTAGTGTTTATCGAGGTGGACAAAATGTTAAATTGAAAGCATACATATGGTAAGGAGCAGTAGTCATTCCACTTCTACCATCAAACCCAGCTCTTTTAAGTTATTCCTTTTTTTCTGGGTCAGTGAATAAAACTATAACTTCTAGCCCTGGTTAGAGCGCTGGCCTGCACACTGAAG